CAAATGAGACAAATGAAGTGACTGTTTCGACATCGATAATTTTGTGTGCGAGTTATAATATGACGTCCATGAAATATATACGTGCCCTGGGCCGACTTCTAGCTTTAGCATAATAATGGGTTCAGACAATCTCAGTGCTGTCTTATTGTTTTCGTCATACAAATAAAGTGAAATCGATTTATAAGTATATGCGGGAAATTGACAGTAAAATCCTTCATTGAAGTACTGTTAAATGTACCAGGTTATCACTCTCGTGATTCTGTAATCATACTTTAGTAATTATTAAATCCCTATAGGTGGATATACCCATAAAGTACCCTGGTTATCTCCTGCCCACATATGAGATCATGTTTTCAAAAGTTTCACCGGTATGAATATTAACAAAATACTTCGTCTTATGCTATTAACTATTGTATGACATAAGTAACATATCAGTCATGTGCTAACAATTCAGATGAAGTAGATACACTTTAGCTTACCTGCCAGGTGTAAATATAACGACAGCGCCACACACAAGAGGACGGTAGCCATCATCTCAGCTGTAACTGTTCACGGGCCCTTTCGTATATGAAGTGGCAATGTATTTCTTTGTAAACAATTTATAGCCACAAGAGAGATAGTCACACAATACAAGAGTCATCATGTAATCAAAAAATACTAAACGTGTGGATGACGTGCGTTACTGCAAGACAGTGACAGTTGTATTGCTGTCAGGAAGTGTTGGTGGTGTGGTAAATCACATATATATTCTTCTCATGGATTGCTTAAGACCACGATTAAAAAATATTACCGCAATATGTGTGCATCTGCTGAAACAAAAGCCTAAGAGAAAATGGTTCCACTCCTTCACGAGAGCATTGTAGATTTCCTGTTGATTTGCATGAACGACAGAGATCTGTGATGTGATTTGTAGGTCGTTCAATAAGCATTCAATGTTGTTGAGGTCTGGTGACCGGAATGGCCATTCCAATGGTCTTCTACACTCAGCAAACAACGTTTGTTGTCGTCAATGAGGATGAACTAGCTTCTGATTACGCCAGCATTAGGTCTGACAGAATGACACTTCTCCGTGAGTTTAACAGATAGGTGTCACTAAACTGAGTGCCTGAGCGCACCTGAGAGCAATTCTTGAACCCCCTAAAGTAAAGTGTATTTGAGGACCCCGAATTGTTGTCAATCGTTGGGGTTTTAAATGCCTTGGATACATGGAGGAGAGGCGGACTATGCTGCAAATACACGTTCGTGTGATGCCATGGGATGGAACAAGCTCTGAATGAACAAAATATCACGTTTTTGTACGTTACGAGATGACACAGACACCATATTTCACTAGATACATGAACTATTCATGTTGTATATGCTTTCATGTTATATTTAACTAAATTTAAATAATATTAATAGGATAAAATTCAATTAACGAAATCCAAATTCTTGCATCTGAAGCTAAAGTATGTTTAATTTTTTATTCATGCGGATAGATGAGACATATTTCGGTATTTGAAAATGTAATATAAAGCCACAAAAAAAAACACATTTAAGGAACTGTGTATTTTTTCGGATTTCAGCTTTTTAGGTACATCAGAAAAAGACAGAAATTTGCAGCCAGAAAATATGAGATTGATAAACATTCCAGAAGAAGGAATACATACTGTAGCGTACCGTGCAGGTATGTTGTTTCGTATCGAAAGGTGATTTGAGCGATCCTGCATATGTATGAACGAATGACACGGATAAACAGAGAGGACATTCCCTCGCCTGTAGATGGGATGTTCGGACAGCTCACTCACTCACTCACTCACTCTAGCACTCACTCTAGCACTCACTCTAGCATGCAATTTTGAAATTTTTATTACTATTCAGGGCAATACAGTGTAAGACACGCCCTGTACATCACCAGCAACTGAAGGTAGATGACCATACTAAGGACGAAATCAATGCAATACTAACTCAGAAGACAGGAATTACAATGAACACAAAGAAAATTAAATTACAATTGTATCAATTACTATCCTTTTGTTGTCATTGTATAAACAAGATCGGCACACGTAATAACATCCATTAAAGGATCCTTTTGGTCTTGGGGCGGTGGGGTAGGCTAGAGGTTAAAGCGTCGCTCGTCACTCGGAGAACCCGGGTTCGATTCCCCACATGGGTACAACGTGTGAAGCCCATTTCTGGTGTCCCCCGCCGTGATATTGCTGGAATATTGCTAAAAGCGGCGTAAAACCAAAGCCACTCACTTACTCTTTTTGGTCGTATGGTAAACGTCAAAATAAATAAGAACTACAGAGAAAAAGACAGTAGTTGAGATTCAGATTTATATATAGCATGGATACAGGTAATGACTGTTGTCAATCGAGTGAAATAACTCACTTGTAATAAAAGTGCCAAGTGGACGTTGCCATCTTTTACCTCAAGTGTTCAGAACAGAGGTAAATTCGCATGAAGCGAGGCGTGGACTCGACACAACGTAGCGAGGGACAGTCACTTACAACGGGTATACTGAATTAAACGGCGAGCAGCAGATGTAGTACGAGTTCTTCATTGAAGGTCCGTCATCCATTGCTCATACTTGCTGTGAAATGCATGTGTTTACATTGCAAAGATGCAAGGACAGAAACGTTTGGTTTTTCTTGTTTGTTTGGTTTGTTTGTTTTGGAGTGGTTGGGGTGGGGTGGTGGTGGTTTAGCGGCCTGAAGTGATGTTCAAAGATGCAGCTGTACCGGATGTGGCAGATAACGAGGCCGATGTTTTAACGTTGGAGAGTACGTGTAACACAGACCAACACTTGTCTGTGAATATATATCATTTTATAGCGACAGATAATCCCATTTGAATTGAAGAGGAACCCGAGTGAGTTGGGAAATTCAGAACATGATGAAATCTAGACTTAACTCATTTTGGGCTTTAGCATTGCAGGGATGGCGAGGCAGTAGAGAAATTGATATGGTTCAGGGGCTGTGAGACAACACTACACTCTCTCTGCCATTTAGGCTGCATAACGTAGATATATTTTCCTGTCAAGTTTCCACAGCAGTGAACACATAACATTTCCGTCACTGCAGCGAAAACATCCAAAATAATAATAATACGGTATATGTAATAATTTTGCTGCCCAGGACCAGTCACTTCAGACTCGATAAAATGTGATTCTTAAACAAAATATCAATATGAAATGTCGACTTTGCAATGAATTTACAAAGACTGTCCAGCACCTCATCAGTGGATGCCCTTCCTTGGCACAAACTGCATATCTTAAAATACATAATTGCATGGCTCGTTGCTTCTGCTATCGTCTCCGCCATGTCTGTGGCTTTGACTCCATCCATGGTACGACCCTGAACATGTCCAGGGCGTCATGGAAAATGATGTTTTTAAGCTAAGAATTCCAGCCAACAAACCTGATCTTGTCCTTTTCGATAAAGCTAGTGAATTTATTTATATTATTGAATTTCTGTCCCTTTTGACAGCAATGTGATTGGCAAAAATATGCGGACTCCGCCTTTGAAATGTCTCGCTTGCATCCCAAGCACAGTGTTGTCAGGCTCCTCATTGTTCTCGGTGCCCTTCGCTTGGTACCTCCTGATCTCTTGGCGCAGTTCAGGAGATTGCCCGGGTTCTCCACCGGGAGTACAGCGCTTCGGACACTCTGGGTAATGCCGAAGGCTGCAGTGTTGGGGAATCTACATGTTCTCCGCAAAGTTCTTGGTGGGTTCGACTAGACAGCGTTTCCTGGGAGAAGTCCCATTCGCTGTCTTGGCTGAGTGTACAGGGCGTACAAGGGCCCTGAGCTGATGATGAGCCTTACCAGCCTGACTGTGCCAGGATCACCCGAACCCTCTCCGCTGCATACTATTTTTATTCTGTAAAACATAAAGTATATATAGTAATAATAATACGGTACGAACTTTCAAGACATACAGGAATTAAATAAAAACTTTATAAAAAAAATTGTGTTTAATCTGAATTTTTTGTGGACATGTTTTAAGGTTGGTTGATTGAATTAGATGAATTAGATTTTCATGATCAGTTAAGTCAAGTTGTGATCTTCACCAACGTACAAACATTGTTAATTTTCTCATTGATTTTCCCTCATTCAGAAATTGTATACTATTATTGCATGATTTAAGATTTGGATCTCATCTCTATTGGCCAGGAGATTGGAAGTGAGCGAGACTAGTTAGTTTATTACTACTTCCTTATCACATTTATATCGACCACTGTGTAGAGACAATATCCTTTTATTTAAGTTACAATCAGTTTTTGAATAGGATAGTCTTCTTGCTATATGTATAATATCTTAATCGCCATTCTATAAAATAATTATATAACTATTCTCTAGATCGCGACAACGCCAGTGTGTCCTTTACATTACACCACAATCCTCTCTGTTTGATATTGTTGTATCGATAAGATCACACATGCCTTAACACCACACACAAGAAACCAACTGGTGTGTGTCTAGGCTACAACTGATAGTCTTGTCATTCTGAGATCATCCTACTGACGTACCGTCCTACCGTTAGCGAAGGTGTGTTCAGGTCAGGTTGTTTGTGAGTTTCGCTAAAGGGGCACTGATATATGGCTTCAAGCCGGTAAGCCATCCCACCCAGGCCTCATTAGCTGCTGGTGGGGTAGCATAGTGGTTAAAGCATTCGTTCGTCATGCTAAAGAACAGGGTTCGATTCCCAACATGGTCACAGTGCGTAGAGCCTATTTCTGGTATCCCCCGCCGTGATATTGCTGGAATATTGCTAAAGGCGCCGTGAAGCTTTTCTCCCTGACTCACTCACTCATTAGCTGCCGTGAGACTATTCACACAACAGAGCGTGACATGATACTGGGCTACTGTCTCTGTAGACAGAGGACATGAACTCTGAGACAATGTTTATGCAGTCTCATAAATAATTCCGAGTCAATTTAGCTATATTATTAAATGCACACATTTGGTTTATTTGAAACCGTAAACAAATTCAACCCCACTTGGCCATTGCTATTTTTTAAAAATCCACTTAGGTAAAATAATACACAACGTACACAACACATGCGGTTACATATGATTTATACAACGATACAGTTCGTATACTCAAAACAGCAACAAAACTTCATACAATGCAACGATCACTAACCCCTCTAATTGATTGATTGATTGATTGGTTGGTTGGTTGGTTGGTTGGTTGGTTGGTTACGAGTTGAAATGAGCACCTGTACCGGAAGCTTAGGTTACTGTTACAACACTAGCTAAACACGAATTATTTCCAACATTTAAAGCTCATTTGCTTTACATTCACACGTACAATACATATTTGTCGCCAGAGCCGAATAATTGGGACCAGGTGAACGTGGATGTACGGTTGTAGTTGGTTGTATGTGTGCCGTCATACCTCAATCGTGTGATGCATCTTCATGCTGTCGTCCCCTGGTTTATGTCTTTCAGACGGACGTGAAGTTAAAAAGCCTTCTTTGCATTTAGAAATTATTTCTGACAGTCCTGTAATCTGATTCTACAATTATGCCACATTGGTATAAAACGGTCATCAGATACAGAAAGCAGGGTTATGTGTCTTGTATATACCAGGATCCGAACTCCGGGCTGGTTGTGGGTTTGAACTTAGCTTCGTGAGTACCGAGTGTTTAAGCTCACTGTTTTCAGTTATATGGCTAGTGTACTGCATCCTAACCCTTACCTTGAAGGTATCTCAAGGGGTTGTGGGGGACTTGGTAATCCGTTGACCGCTTTGCATTGTGTCCGTGAAGCTCACGCGATTCACAAATGCTTATTGACATGAATCAATAAAGCGACTCTTTCCATTAAGAAATCTTAATCTCTAACATTAAACCAATATTTCCTCGTAGCCGAACATTTAACAAATGACCATGTCATGATTCATAGCAATTTGCAGCATCCATCCAGGATAGGAGTGAGGGCGCCAGAAAGAGTTTTCAAATGTATCACAGCCAATTGAATCTCGGTCTTCGTGATCACAGGCGAACGCTTTAACCACGTACATAAGGTAGGTCAGAATGTGGTTCTGGGAATGTGGTTTCATAGGGATAACTTAAAAGGCTTCATAAGATCTCGGAATTGTGTCTACCAAAAGGCGTTACGAAAGTTAACGAATATTACGAATATTAAGGCCGTAGAAGAGGTAATCTTAATCAACCAACTTTTCTATTTTTCATAGAAAGAGCATATTTGAATGTACGGAAACAACACGAGCTGTTACCTTTTTTCACCCGCTTTGTGAACATAACACCCTTCCTCACTCCACTGTAAGCACATACGAGTCTATCCAACTGTGTCAACTCTACCTCTTACTGGTATATTTGCTGTTCACCCATAGTGGGTAATACATATGTTCATCTATACCTGGTCAAACATGTTCACAAATTTATTCTCCGACAGCGTTTGCACTGTACTGGATTCAGTTATGTATTCTTGTTTCTATTCAACGTAATACATCTTGACCGATTTCTTTTATATTTTCATGAACACCTTTTCTCACCCCCGACTTACCTCCTAAATCATTGTGTTGCTGTAGAACTTGTATGAAACACATTATGAATGTATGTGATGATCATGATATGAGTGTATAATAACTAAAACGTTATCAGGGAGCCGATTAGATTCAGGAGTTTCACTTTTTTTCTACTCCTTCATAATATGGCACGAGAAGGCTGAATACAGATCCGCTGTACGGATCCACTGCGACTCTAGCATTGAGATCACCATTTGGGATGTATGCATGTGCATAATTACATAGCTATGAATTGTGACAGTATATATTCCTGGAATATCTTTGAGGAATCGTTAATATAAGGCATTAACAAATGTGATTTATCATGAATGTCAAAAGTGAATGTCAAGGGACAGTTTAATCAAAGCCCATGAACTCCATTATTATACTTGATTGTTATTGTCAGTGCGCTCCACTGGCCTCTTTCCATTTTTCCATATTGTGATTGACACTGTAAGAGAGCACCTTTCCGTTTTGTGCCATCACCTCTCTCGATATTTCAAACACACTAGTCTTTGTTGAGTCAGGTTGGGTTGACTTGCTCTCATTTGTTTTACCACCAGCTGATGCCATGTGTTTTACAACAGACAGGGTTGGTGTCATTGAGCTGACGGTGTTCCAAGGTGTCCGCTTATGTTCTTCCTCCGGAGCTCCAATGGGTGTCAGTCGTCGTGGCATCGTGGGCATAAACGAGGTGGCAGGAGCTATGCTGCTGGTATATGTTCCCGTGATACCAAGGGCTGCAGCAAAGTCAGAATCAGGGATATCGTCGATTTTATGTGCTACTTTCATCTGTAACAGAAAATTGGAAAACTTGCATGATCAAAATGACTGAAGAAAAAAGAACAAAAGACAATGGTACAGTTAAAATGAATGAGACTTGCATTACTTGACAACAACAAAAAACACAACAAAAACCTTCCACACGCAGAGGTTAGAGGGAGATAAAAAGCTCTCTGAAAGAGAACTTTTCAAGTGTCTCACGTTCACACCAAAACAGATGTCCTGACTCGGAGCATGTGGCTGGTCGTCCGTTCCATCAATGATTCTCCCGGAACATGACTCTTGACTTTACCAGTTCTCCTGGGAGTGCCAAGGTGCCCCAACTACACGATCCATGCCCCGGGACGTTACCCAATTATTTGTTCAAAGCCGCGTTGAAACCAGCTCAATCACTCACATTAATCCCCTGCTGATATATATCATAACTGGAATGAATCAGGTAGACACACAAATATTCCATATGGAAACATATTCTGCTGCTACGGCATCTATTGGTCTCCTTGTACTTACCAAAAATATTAATTATTGTAATATTCGCATAAAATTAGATGTCCTTTATATGCTAATATGCATGCCAATATTATCGCATTGTGGGTTGCAGTCCTAATGTACCGAATCAATATTGTCTTGTTTTGTACTGTCTTACTGACAATAGCGGTGGTTCTAGATTATTTTTAAAATGGTTAAAAATGTTACAGCCTTGACAGAAAAATATGACTGTCTAAACGATCTGATAAGATATGACAGATAAGACGATCTTCATAGACCCAGTTGCTTCAATAAACTAGCTGCACACCTTTAAATTTTTCTTTAATGTTTATTTGTTCCTGTGTCCAAAGCCACCAAATCTTAGGTCACACCTCCCTAAACTATTGCCTTGAGGACGTCTGAGGTCCCTGGGTATATGGTAAAATATCCACAAGATTCATGCCCTAATCGCCTTCATTGTATTGTCCATACAATCTAGCATAACACATGTATTGAAGGTCGTTTAAGAATTCGTTTCATATAGGTGGAATAGGTGATAGCAATAATAATAATAACAATAATATGTATACCCTCTTTATCCAGGACACATAATAGGTTTTGCAGAGGTCCTTTCATTCCTACACACACTCTCTGTATATAATGTACCTCTCCTTTAAACACAATTCATGAGCGAATACATAGGGTTGTACGCCATGCATTGAGATATTGATTCACGGCATGACTGAAAACCTAGTCAAATATCTGATTATATCTGTAGTTATAACCCTTAAATTGTTGAAAGGAAATCAGCATAACATTTCTCGTCTCGGCACGTGGAAGTGAGATCACGTATAGAGACGCAGCAGTATGTTTGCGGAATGGATTACTCATAACAGGTACACAAAGTCAAAGCACGCATGTACAAGTGCACGTCATTATTTAATGGGTTTACTGCGTTCACTAAGCATACGGCCATGTTTAAAACGTCAGTTTACTAGCCTCTATTGGTGTTATCGCTATTACTCATCGTGAGTTGTACACGCAACCACACACTCATGCCAAAGTGAACACACAGACAGGGTTTTTTATTCTGAAGTATTATTTTGTTTTCAAAATATCACTTGATTCCCAAATATTATTTGATTTATTCTGGGGATATATGTTTTTTTCAAAATATATCTTGATTCCTCTCATTTTAATCTAACAGAAACGTCTTTTCTCGATATGAGGATATGCTTGATAAGATATGTACAAAACAGCAAAATGTATTCTTAAATTTGCCGTAAGTGCAAATCGACAAGTTCGAAACAGTGTTTCTCTATCCCCGATCGATCTGTCGAAATAGTCACAGGGTATCCGTGAGCTCACATGGATCCAGTTCAGTTATACACATTACAGTATATATATATATATCCTCATGAATACTGAATAAACAATATTCGCGTAACTTCTTTGAGTCGCATTTAGAAGTCGGTGTGCATTTGACTACAAATGTGTCCCTGGGAGATCTAGACACAGATCTGGGGAATGTCATTGGATCGCTAAGGCAATTGGGAAGATAATTCATTTTTTTTAAATATATGCTACAAAGCGACAAGAGAGAGAGAGAGAGAGAGAGAGAGAGAGAGGGGGGGGGAAGACGGGTTGAACTGTTGGAGAGAGGACAAGAAGAGGTAGACGTGTTGTTTAAACTGTAACACAGCCAGGCCATTTTCTCAAAAAGTTTTCATTATCTTCACCGAATATATACTTTTCAACATTATAATGAAGTTATATAATTTGTAGGAGATGGTTACAATTTAACTGTTTAGGCATGCATTTACATTTTTTTCATGATAGTGCATAGGTTGTTGACAAGGATGCTTTCATTGGGGTCTCCCAGAAGAAATTAAGAGAGACTGAAATCAATACTACGACTGGTTTCATTTTCGAACCAACTCGAAAACTGGTATCCGTACCTCATTTTTCTTCTGCTTCTTCTTACAGAAAACACACAATAGTATCATCAACAGGAGCACGAGCAGCACAATACCTATGGTGAGGCCGACTGCTGCCCCGCGACTCAAGCCACCTGGAAATGTGGAAGAAATATCGAGTAGCAACAGCACCTCTTGTGAAGGTTTACTCTTCACATAAATATCCACCGGCTGTTCATTTATAGCTTATGATACTGTGATTATTCATTTTCTGTAATTGCTTACAAGTTTAACATTCCTTCTCCCTTGTTACATAAGTACAAAATTGCCATATACAATATGTCACCAAATGCACGGAATATCTTGAAGGCGTTACCAATCATGATTAGCAGTGAGTGAGTTTAGTTTTACGCCGCATTCAGCAATATTCCAGCTGTATGGCGGCCATGGTTAACAATGACTATCATCTGACTCCTGGAACGTTCATCAGATCAACACCTGTAATCAGAGTCAGTGAAGAACGAATGTAGGATTTTTGAAAATAAAATACGTTGTGAGAGCCCTACGTTTGGCAACCCTTCAGTACGAAGAACACATTGGTTTGTTTGGCTTGTAAACACATTAAAGTATGCAATGCAAACGTTTGGCAACCTCCTTTGCTACCTACCACCACCCGACTCATCGTCATCATCCTTTCCCCTCCTCCGCTTTCTTGAAGATGGTGTGGTAGTGCTAATTGTAGTCGTTTCCGGACACGTTGGGACAGTCGGGGCTGCTGTTACTGCTGACGTCCCACATTGAACTACAATGCTGGCTTGATAGTGTGTGGCTGTATATAATGACAGTTATATGTAAATTGACTGCTAGTTACATTTCCTATACCATTTTACAAAATCATCCGCTCATATCAAAAAGGTAAGTTTATATACTTAACATATGATGCATCAAACGGATTGTCTTTAATATTTTCCAATTCATCAAAATGGACTATATATCGCCAGCAACTGAAGGTAGATCACTACACTAGGGACTTCGGATCTACGTTCAGTTGATATGCCCCAGAAAGCAAATATTTAAGGAATGAAAAACACCATGCAGCTTTCCGATTCTGAGCCAGTGGACCTGATCATTCCGTCGTGATTCTATACTTGACTATAGACATCATCGTCTTAAAGACGCCTGAATTGTTTTGTATGTTTCCCACCACGATGCCAATTGTTTAAGATACGTCAACGCTGTTCATTGGTTCAAGCCTACGTCTCTGAGCTTCAGGGTGAGGGCACTATCATGCTGTCGCAAATGCCGATGGTCAAATCTGAGAACATCTTACAAAATCTGCCAGGGATGAGATCTCGAATCTTTTCATTGTGTTTTCCAGCAAATCGTTAGCTGTCATGGTAATCTTTTTCAAGCAATCTACATGTAATTAGATGCCACAATTTCAACACAATTAAGTCAACGCGTTTTCTACGCGGGGTAGAGCCACGATCGAGACAGGAAAAGTAGGCTTGAGATGACAAAGGTGGCAACTAACCTCTGATATTGTCTAACGGCACGGGAACATTGATGGGGAAGGTGTGAATGATAAATCAAGAGTGGGGGTAAAGCAGAGGTAAACTGTTTTGTTTGTTATTTGACTGGGGAAGAAAAGAATGGTACTTCATCGCTACCTAGGTTACCACCTACAAGTATTTATTCTTTGGTTTAAAGTCAAAACTTATTCTCTTTATGTGAAGCATATATGACTTATCTGATTATCTCCAATCAAAATCTTAATAGACGAAGTACATATACAAACACATTCTATACCTTACCTTGAAAGTGCATCCATAGACGCCCGCTGTTAGTAGGTAAGTTACTTCTTAAGTTGACTGTCATGAAATGTGATCTGCTGGTGTACAATATACCAGAACGGTAGTTCGTGTTGTTGGCACAATCTATTCTCAACCTGTTGGCATTGTCACCGTCCACGATGTCTACGTATTGAGTACACGTGCCACTGGCGTCTTGTATAAAATCCTGATGAAGTGACGTCACAGCTATGGATGAGTTGCACGACGCTGTAACGCTGCATGTAGTGTCTGTGTTTGGATCTATGCCTGAAGTCGGATAACCCGCATTCTGGATCGTAACAGTCTTTCCGCTTTTAGATCCATTAGTCGGAATCGATATGATGTCGGATTCTGAAATAAATAGCGTGTATGTGTCATTTAATATACATTGACAGCGGGCACTCAATCTATCTCATATTTTAGTCTAAAACCATTTACAAAATTTAACATAATGCACATATATAGTATGGCCAGAAATTATTGAGAATTTTAGGAATATGTTTAATTGGATTTCTAGTATAAACAACCTTGACCAGCTATCAAGTGCTTGGTTTCATTCAAGAGCGACAACTCCGTTAATCCTTTTTCATTAGTTTGTGAAGATTTGTGCCCCTTTGTTTACTTGCTAGCAGATGACATTTTCAGTGATCCTCAGTATGGATGATTTAGAGAAGATGAAGTATGATAACAAGAACATCAGACCAGCTATAGTGATTTCAAGTAGAACAGGTATCCTTTTATCCACTGTTTATCGTGTTTTGAAAAATATTGCAAATGGATATGGCATTGAGCACCAGGGAGGCGCAGGGGCAGGACACAGGCGCGGGACACAGATATGCTCGAGGGACATTTACTTCCATCTGCTCACGTGTTCTATGGAAATCTTTGGATTTTCCAGCAGGACAACGACTCAAAACATCGTTCAAAGCATTCACAGGCCTGGTTTCGGACCCCAAATATGACATTATTAGATTGGCCAAGCTAAAGCCCTGACCTAAATCTAATAGAAAATGTTTGGGGACTTGTCAATAAGAAAAATCTGACAAATATTGCTGAAATGAAAGAAGAGTTTGTCCGATATTGGGACAGCATGGACCACGACTTTCTAACTTCTTTGATCAGTAGTATGCCCCGCCGCATTGAAGCCTGCTTGCTGCCCATGGTGACTTGACAAAATACTAACTGTTCACCTGTCTTTGAATCTGGAGTTATGTTCTGCTAATATTCACATTTAATACGTGAGTAATGAGTGAAAAAAAATATAAAAATTACAATCTTTAAATTCTCAATGATTTCTGGTTGTACTCTATATATATGCTAATGGATAATATTTCATAACATATATATGTACACAGAGCCATAGCTTCGATACATGTATTACAGTTCCGTGAATGGATCACGCGTCGATAAGCAATATTCAAACAGTATATGACGGCAGGGGACGCCACAAGGAGTTTCACACAAGGTACGCATACCCAACGTAGGTAATCAGGTAAGATCAGGCCTTAAGCGTGACTAGTCTAGGCCACAGTCCATATTCTTCTAAACATATAGTAGGGTATTTAGGAATACAGTTAATTCTTTGCGTAAAGCACCATGACGCCATATGTGTGTGTGCGTGTGTGTGCGTGTGTGTGTGTGGTACGCGTGTATGTGTATATAAGGTTTTAAGTTGGTAGGTATGTGTGAATGTTGGTAGGTAGGTATGTACATATATCTGATATTATATTAAAATGTTCGATACTTGTGTTATTCTGGCATCTCCGCTGGAAAAGAACACGTGCATGCTGTATGCATCAACTAATCGGTATATTCCTAATACTCATATATTTTCTGTGTTTGATGTTTTTTCAGGAGCAGCTTGTAACAGTCAATACTTCGTCTGTTTCCATACGTTCAAACCTTCTGTTGTATTCACACTTACTTGACATACACTGATAACTCATCAGCATGTAATTCGACAATGACAGATATCCAGCCTCACTGCATGTTGTAGGCTGCCAAGCGACCTTCTTGATACAAGTGGACACCCCTACACAGATCGTGTGGAAGTCACTGTCGCCGGTGTAGGGCATCACACAGTCTTCATTGTTCTTGGAGCAACATAGCTGCCTGCTCGCAACGTCACCGGTTGTGAACTCTTGCGGACAGCTGGAAGATACTTTCTTGGCTATAGCATATAGGTTATCTATGGCGATAACTTGGTCAGAATCACATCTGGGAATTATAAAATCGTTTGCCGTGTTGCCATAACAACCAACTGCATCGAGGGACACTGAAAAGAAGAATTACCGAAATTGTTTTATTTATAGTCACACCAAAATGACAGTGAAGAAAATATGCATCTTGATGGGTATACATAGCTTCTTACTAATATAAGCGAAGTGTATGGGTGATGGTGTTTAGTGTATCGGTGATGGTGAGTGTTTATTGTAAGGTGATGGTGAGTGTTTAGTGTAAGGTGATGGTGAGTGTTTAGTGTATGGTGATGGTGTTTAGTGTATAGTGATGGTGTTTAGTGTATGGTGATGGTGTTTAGTGTATAGTGATGGTGTTTAGTGTATGGTGATGGTGAGTGTTTAGTGCATGGTGATGGTGAGTGTTTAGTGTACAGGTGATGGCGGTTAGTGTATGGTCATGGTGAGTGTTTAGTGTAAGGTGATGGTGAGTGTTTAGTGTATGGGTGATGGTGAGTGCTTAGTGTATGGGTGATGGTGAGTGTTTAGTGGATGGGTGATGGTGTTTAGTGTATGGGTGATGGTGAGTGTTTAGTGTAAGGTGATGGAGGGTGTTTAGTGTATGGTGATGGTGTTTCGTGTAAGTGTAGTGTATGGTGATGGTGTTTAGTGTATGGGTGATGGTGTATAGTGTATGGTGATGGTGTTTAGTGTATGCTGATGGTGTTTAGTGCATTGATGATGGTGAGTGTTTAGTGTATGGTGATGGTGAGTGTTTAGTGTATTGGTGATGGTGAGTGTTTAGTGTATTGATGATGGTGAGTGTTTAGTGTATGGTGATGGTGAGTGTTTAGTGTATGGGTGATGGTGTTTAGTGTATGGTGATGGTGTTTAGTGTATGGTGATGGTGAGTGTTTAGTGTATGGTGATGGTGGTGAGTGTTTAGTGTATGGGTGATGGTGTTTAGTGTATATGGTGAGTGTTTAGTGTATGAGTGTTTAGTGATGGGGATGGTGAGTGTTTAGTGTGTATGGTGATGGTGAGTGTTTAGTGTATGGTGATGGTGAGTGTTTTGAGTGTATGGGTGATGGTGAGTGTTTAGTGTATATGGTGATGGAGTGTTTAGTGTATGTGTGATGGTGAGTGTTTAGTGTGGGTGTGATGGTGATGTGTGATTGAGTAGTGTATGGTGATGGTGAGTGGTAGTGTTTAGTATATGGTGATGGTGAGTGTTTAGTGTATGGTGATGGTGAGTGTTTAGTGTATGGTGATGGTGAGTGTTTAGTGTATGGTGATGGTGAGTGTTTAGTGTATGGTGATGGTGAGTGTTTAGTGTATGGTGATGGTGAGTGTTTAGTGTATGGTGATGGTGAGTGTTTAGTGTATGGTGATGGTGTTTAGTGTATGAGTGATGGTGTTTAGTGTATGGTGATGGTGTGTTTAGTGTATGGTGATGGTGAGTGTTTAGTGTATGGTGATGGTGAGTGTTTAGTGTAAGGTGATGGTGAGTGTTTAGTGTATGGGTGATGGTGAGTGTTTAGTGTATGGTGATGGTGAGTGTTTAGTGTATGGGTGATGGTGTTTAGTGTATGGGTGATGGTGAGTGTTTAGTGGATGGTGATGGTGTTTAGTGTATAGGGTGATATGGTGGTGAGTGTTTAGTGTATGGTGTGATGGTGTAGTGTATGGTGTATGGTGATGGTGTTTAGTGTTTAGTGATGATGATGAGTGTTTAGTGTATGGTGATGGTGTTGAGTGTTTAGTGTATGGGTGATGGTGTTTAGTGTTTAGTGATGGTGAGTGTTTAGTGTATTGTGTTTAGTGTATGAGTGATAGTGTTTAGTGTAGTGATGATGGTAGTGAGTGTTTAGTGTAGTGGTGATGGTGTTTAGTGTATGGTGATGGTGAGTGTTTAGTGTATGGTGATGGTGAGTGTTTAGTGTATGGGTGATGGTGAGTGTTTAGTGTATGGTGATGGTGAGTGTTTAGTGTATGGGTGATGGTGAGTGTTTAGTGTGTGGGTGATGGTGAGTGTTTAGTGTATTGATGATGGTGAGTGTTTAGTGTATGGTGAGTGTTTAGTGTATTAGTGATGGTGAGTGTTTAGTGTATATGATAGTGATGGTGTTGAGTGTATGGTGGATGGGTGCTAGTGTTTAGTGTATGGGTGATGGTGAGTGTTTAGTGTATGGTGATGGTGTTTAGTGTATGGTGATGCTGAGTGTTTAGTGTATGGTGATGGTGAGTGTTTAGTGTATGGGTGATGGTGAGTGTTTAGTGTATATGGTGATGGTGAGTGTTTGAGATGGGTGATGATGAGTGTTTAGTGTATGGATGGTGAGTGTTTAGTGTAAGGTGATGCAGGTGTTTAGTGTATGGTGGTGGTGTTTGAGTGTATGGTGATGGATGGTGTTTAGTGTATGGTGATGGTGTTTAGTGTATTGGTGATGGTGAGTGTTTAGTGTATATGGTGATGGTGAGTGTTTAGTATATGGTGTTTAGTGGGATGATAGTGTTTAGTGTATGGGTGATGGTGAGTGTGTAGTGTATGGTGATGGTGTTTAGTGTATGGTGTGATGGTGTTTAGTGTATGGTGATGGTGAGTGTTTAGTGTATGGGTGATGGTGAGTGTTTAGTGTATGGTGATGGTGATGGTGTTTAGTGTATAGGTAGTGTAATGGTGAGTGTGCTTAGTGTATGGTGATGGTGTTTAGTGTATGGTGATAGTGAGTGTTTAGTGTATGGTGATGATGAGTGTTTAGTGCATTGGTGATGGTGAGTGTTTAGTGTATGGTGATGGTGATGGTGAGTGTTTAGTGTTTAGTGATGGTGAAGTGTTTAGTGTATGGTGTTTAGTGTATTGGTGATGGTGAGTGTTTAGTGTATGGTGATGGTGAGTGTTTAGTGTATGGGTGATGGTGTTTAGTGTATGGTGATGAGTGTTTAGTGTATGGTGATGGTGAGTGTTTAGTGTATGGTGATGGTGAGTGTTTAGTGTATGGGTGATGGTGAGTGTTTAGTGTATTGGTAATGGTGAGTGTTTAGTGTATATGGTGATGGTGAGTGTTTAGTGTATGGTGATGGTGAGTGTTTAGTGTATGGGTAATGGTGAGTGTTTAGTGTATGGGTGATGGTGTTTAGTGTATGGTGATGGTGAGTGTTTAGTGTATGGTGGTGATGAGTGTTTAGTGTATGGTGATAGTGAGTGTTTAGTGTATGGTGATGGTGAGTGTTTAGTGTATGGTGATGGTGAGTGTTTAGTGTTTAGTGTATGGGTGATGGTGAGTGTTTAGTGTATGGGTGATGGTGAGTGTTTAGTGTATCGATGGTGATGGTGAGTGTTTAGTGTATGGTGATGGTGAGTGTTTAGTGTATGGTGATGGTGAGTGTTTAGTGTATGGTGATGGTGAGTGTTTAGTGTATGGGTGATGGTGAGTGTTTAGTGTATGGTGATGGTGAGTGTTTAGTGTATGGTGATGGTGTTTAGTGTATGGTGATGGTGGTGTTTAGTGTATGGTGATATGGTGAGTGTTTAGTGTATGGGTGATGGTGTTTAGTGTATGGTCATGAGTGAGTGTTTAGTGTGTATGGTGATGGTGAGTGTTTAGTGTATGGTGATGGTGAGTGTTTAGTGTATAGGTATGGTGATAGTGTTTAGTGTATTGGTGATGGTGTTTAGTGTATGGGTGATGGTGAGTGTTTAGTGATATGGGTGATGGTAGTGTTTAGTGTATAGGTGATGGTGAGTGTTTAGTGTATTAGTGATGGTGATGGTGAGTGTTTAGTGTATTGGTGATGGTGAGTGTTTAGTGTATAATGGTACTGGTGAGTGTTTGAGTGTAAAGGTGATTGTGAGTGTTTAGTGCATAGTGGTGATGGTGAGTGTTTAGTGTATGGTGATGGTGAGTGTTTAGTGTATGGGTGATGGTGAGTGTTTAGTGTGTGGGTGATGGTGTTTAGTGTATTATGGTGAGTGTATTGATGATGATGATGGTGAGTGTTTAGTGTATAGGTGATGGTGAGTGTTTAGTGTTTGGGTAATGGTGAGTGTTTGGTGGATGGGTGCTGGTGTTTAGTGTATGTGTGATGAGTGTTTAGAGTGTATGGTGATGGTGTTTAGTGTATGTATGATGGTGATAAGTGTATGGTGATGGTGAGTCTTTAGTGTATGAGTGATGGTGAGTGTTTAGTGTATATGGTGAGTGTGTTTAGTGTATAGGTAATGGTGAGTGTTTAGTGTATGGTGATTGCTGAGTGTTTAGTGTATGGGTGATGGTGTTTAGTGTATGGTGAGTGGTGTTTAGTGTTTGGTATATGGTGATAGGTATGAGTGTTTAGTGTAGGGGTGATGGTGAGTGTTTAGTGTATGGTGATGGTGAGTGTTTAGTGTGTATGGTGATAGTGTTTAGTGTATGGTGATGGTGAGTGTTTAGTGTATGGTGATGGTGAGAGTGTTTAGTGTATGGGTGATGGTGTTTAGTGTATGGTCATGGTGAGTGTTTAGTGTATCGATGGTGATGGTGAGTGTTTAGTGTAAGGTGATTGTGTTTAGTGTATGGTGATGGTGTTTAGTGTATTGATGATGGTGAGTGTTTAGTGTATTGGTGATGGTGTTTAGTGTATGGTGATGGTGAGTGTTTAGTGTATGGTGATGGTGAGTGTTTAGTGTAAGGGTGATGGTGAGTGTTTAGTGTATGGTGATGGTGAGTGTTTAGTGTATGGTGACTAGTGGTGTTTTAGTGTGTGTTTAGTGTATGGTGATGGTGAGTGTTTAGTGTATGGTGATGGTGAGTGTTTAGTGTATTGGTGATGGTGAGTGTTTAGTGTATGGGTGATGGTGAGTGTTTAGTGTATTGGTGATAGTGAAGTGTTTAGTGTATGGTGATGGTGAGTGTTTAGTGTATGGGTGATGATGGTGTTTAGTATATGTATGATGGTGAGTGTTTAGTGTATAGGTGATGGTGTTTAGTGTAGTGTATGGTGATGGTGAGTGTTTAGTGTATGGTGATGGTGAGTGTTTAGTGTATGGTGATGGTGAGTGTTTAGTGTATGGTGATGGTGAGTGTTTAGTGTATGGTGATGGTGAGTGTTTAGTGTA